CCATCAGGAACATTGGTCGATTTACTATGATGAGCCTGTCATGTTTTGACTTCTAGTAAGTGGACTTTTAACTTGCTTCCACTGTAAGAAGAGCTGCCTCAGTGTTATTGCTCCCATCCATTTGGCACCTTTATCCTACAGCTACAGAGGTTGGGCTCTAACAAACACGCCCTATTTAATATACATATAAATGCACTTTAACAGAGGCTACAGAAACAATTTCCCAGTGTTTTCAGACTTATGGCATGGGTATAATATGGCTCAGGCTACTTTCACACTAGCGTTGTGTGCAGACGGCAGAGAGGTGTTTGGGAAGCGTTTTTACCGCTTCCCAAATGCCTCTGACAATTCTGCACATTGCAGCACATGGTGCTGTTCTAACGGGAACGTTAGCGTCACGGCAAAACGGACGCCTCTGGTCAAGTCAGGAGGCGTTGAAGCCTCCAAACACCTAGCAACCGCCGCTAAACCGCATTTGCCAAGCGTTAAAAAACGCTCCGCAAACGCCGGACCAACGCTTGCCAAACGCTATAGGGGAGTTTGGCAAGCGTTGGTAAAACAGTCAAGTGTGAACAAGCCCTTATACTTCTCAACCAGTACATGTGGTCCCAGACCATGTTTCATTTCTCTATTTTAACATCGTCATACACTCAGGTTGCATCATTTGTTGATAGCGTGATAACACTAATGTGTTGCTCTTCTAAAACAGAGAAAAAGAAGTTGTTGCAACACTTCTCTTAGGAAAGCTATATACAACCACATGAATTTGCAGAAGTTACTGGAAAAAACGGGTTGTGCTTTATGAATGTCATTAGAGATTAAGTGACTCACATATTTATCTTCCCATAATCTAAAAAAAATCATAAAGCTTGTTTTCTGCTATTGTTATCAGACATAAACCCTCTGTCTAGTCTAGTGTTTCACAACAGCACAGACCTTGAGCTTCATTACCAGTCCACACTGTCATATGCTCAGGAAAACATGGATTTGAAATACCCAAAAAAGTGCATTTTACTTGACTTTCTGCATTTTATCACTGAACCATTGACAAAAAGCTGATATTTTACCACATTTAGGACCACAGCCTTATCCTCCTTACAGGACCAAAATGTGTTTTTCCCCATGTCTGCTATATGTCAGTTTTCTGTGATGTAAAAAAAAATTAGACAAAGATAAATAATTTCAGAACTTTTTCCACCTTTAATGTAACCTATAAAGTGTACAACTCAATTGAACAACAAACTGAAATCTTTTAGGTGGAGGGAAGTAAAATAAAACTAAAATAACATGGTTGCACAAGTGTACACACCCTTAAACTAATACTTTGTTGAAGCACCTTTTGATTTTATTACAGCACTCCGTCTTTTTGGGTATGAGTCTATCAGCATGACACATCTTGACTTGGCAATATTTGCCCACTCTTCCTTGCAAAAACACCCCAAATCTGTAAGATTGCGAGGGCGCGTCCTGCGCAGAGCCCTCTTCAAATCACCCTACAGATTTTCGGTCGGATTCAGGTCTGGGCTCTGGCTGGGCCATTCCAAAACTTTAATCATCTTCTGGTGAAGCCATTCCTTTGTTGATTTGGACGTATGCTTTGGGTTGTTGTCATGCTGAAAGATGAAGTCCCTCCTCATGTTCAGCTTTCTAGCAGAAGCCTGAAGGTTTTGGGCCAATATTGACTGGTATTTGGAACTGTTCATAATTCCCTCTACCTTGACTAAGGCCCCAGTTCCAGCTGAAAAAAAAACAGTCCAAAAGCTTGATGCCACCACCATGCTTCATTGTGGGTATGGTGTTCGTTTGGTGATGTGCAGTGTTGTTTTTTGCGCCAAACATATCTTTTGGAATTATAGCCAAAAAGTTCAACCTTGGTTTCATCTGACCAGAACACATTTTCCCATATGCTTTTGGGAGACTTCAGATGTGTTTTTGAAATATTTAGCCGGACGTGTATTTTTTTCTTCATAAGAAAAGGCTTCTGTCTTGCCACTTTATCCCATAGCCCAGATATATGAAAAATATGGGAGATTGTTGTCAGATGTACCACACAGCCAGTACTTGCCAGATATTCCTGCAGCTCCTTTAATGTTGCTGTAGGCCTCTTGGCAGCCTCCCAGACCAGTTTTCTTCTGGTCTTTTCATCAAATTTGGAGGGACGTCCAGTTCTTGATAATGTCACTGTTGCACCAACTGGTCTGGGAGGCTGCCAAGAGGCCTACAGCAACATTTAAAGAGCTACAGGAATATCTGGCAAGTACTGGCTGTGTGGTACATGTGACAACAATCTCCCCATATTTTTCATATGTCTGGGCAATGGGGTAGATTGGCGCCATATTTTTTCCACTTGATGACGATGGTCTTCACTGTGTTCCATGGTGTATCTAATGCCTTGGAAATTCTTTTATACCCTTCTGATACCTTTTAACAATGAGATCCCTCTGGTGTTTTGGAAGCTCTCTGCGGACTGTGACTTCTGCTGTAGGATGCGACTAAGAAAACGTCAGGAAAGACCTACTAGAACAGCTGAACTTTAGTTGGGGTTTCAAGGCACTTTAAATGATGGCAGGTGTGTACTGACTCCTATTTAACATGATTTTGAATGTGATTGCTTAGTTCTGAACACAGCTACATCCCCGGTTATAAGAGGGTGTGCATACTTATGCAACCACAGTTTTTTATTTTATTATTTTTTTTTTTTATGTTTACTGCCCCCCCTCCCCAAAAGATTTTAGTTGGTTTTTCAATTGAGTTGTACAGTTTATAGGTCACTTTAAATGTGAAACAATTTCTGAAATTATTTATCTTTGTCTCATTTTTTTACATCACAGAAACCTGACATTTTAACAGGGGTGTGTGTAGACTTTTTATATCCACTGTACATCCTGGTAGGGATGCAGTTATACTTGGATCGTGGTTGAAGCTACAACCATGATTCCGGTATCGTTTGAAAGCCCCAGCTATTGGCTTTCAGGTAAAAGTAATCCAAGTGTCTAAGCAGCTGCTGGATTACATTTACGGGTGGTGGAATGGGGTCCCATCCGCAGCCTTTACTGGATTCTCCCGAGCAATCGTGGCCGGCAGCGTCCTAAGCCCGGAGCACGGTGAGAGGAACTGAAGCCTGGATGTCTCATATACAAAAAAAAAAAAAAATATCTTTCATATTGCAGATGGCTCTGGCTCTCAGAAATCACTTGATTCTGATTAATATTGTGTCAGATAAAATACAGTATTACACACACGCATACATACTTACATTTCCATATACACATACATGTGCGCGTGTATGTATGTATTTTTTGCCTTTGTCAGCATATAATAGAGGAGGGATTTAATTGGCAATGAACCAAAATAAAAGCCCCATCCTGTATGTCCTTTAAAAAAAATATTTAGACAGGCAAATTTATAAACCAAATATAGTCAAATATACCAACCCATGCTGATGTTTCTAAATTTGGCTTGGGCATCTAGGTTTCAATGGTTAATTCAGTTACATTTTCAACACATTTGAATAAATACACTTTCATTTTATAGGTTTAAGGACTCATTTGCTTGCCACCACTCTGAAAAGCAATTTTTGGTGTATCACTTTATAGAGGATGATTGACAGGCAGCTGCGATGTCACCTCCTCAGCGGCTTTTCTAACCATGAAAGCTGAGGCCTGGAAGTTCTTTATTAATATGTCTCCTAAACTTTCTCTGTTCAGTGGACCCAACCTCAATGTATCTCCCCCCCCCCCCCCCCCCCCCCCGCAAAATGTAAATCAATTTATTCTATGAAATTTAAACTTCAATAACTTTTGAACATGAAAGATGACAAACCATTGCTCCACAGCCACAATCATTACCTGCAGTTGTGGCACAGCCCCATTCACCTGAATGATGCACTACTACCCACTGAATGCAACATGGAGATATTTATTTGCCGCAGCCACAAAGCATCACAGCCACACCATGTGTACAGTTCTGCATATCCGTCTTTAGATGCAGTTGAGAGGTAGTAAACTGTAGCTCAGCCTCCCGCTTTTACCACCCCCCTAGCACCTGTGTAAAAGAGTCCTAAACATGAAAACCTGGCCTGAAACAACTGCAGCTAGTGTGCTTTTAAACATATACAACATATATGTAAGCTTTTCTAAATATTTTACATAAAAACATTAACTAAAATGTTTTCCCCTTCGTTTTGGACAGAGCGGGGAAGGGTTAGAATCCAAAGGATTTTCAAGTGTCTTCACCAGAGCGAATATACCTAATTTTGAGCTCCAAAGACAACGCAGGAAATGAGGGAAAATCACCTTAAAGTGGCAGAGACGGCAATAAAAATACTACAGTTGTTATAACTATTTCCCTACTGTACTAAAAAATAGCAAATCATTGCTCTCTATACTGCTATTGGAGAGTTTCTTTCGGCACTACTGACCCCATAGGACATTTTTCCTATTACAAAAAAAAAAAATTGGGGGCTATAGCTGGGATTTATTAACTCTACATACAAGCTAGGTTTGTTTATCTCTGGTTCCATATTAGGGGCATTGTACCATGCAAAATCTACACAATGACATAGCAGTAACAATAGTCTATAGGAAGTTTTTTTTAATACAGATGTTCACTGGATGGCTACAGTGGAAAGTAGACATTGACCCACTGCTAACCATGTATACCAGAATAGCTGGTAAAAAAGCACAACAATTTCCCATGGTGGCCAACTATTTCATTTTTCATTCTCTGAGAAAAAAAAAACAGGGGTTTGGTTGCTATTGACAGGCGAAGTAAGTAGGGTGCACAGTATAAAAAAGAAAAAAAAAAGAAAAAAAAAAAAAGAACCTTGTGGTTTTAAAAGCCAAACTTGCAACTTCCACCCAGTTTTGGATGGACTGGCTTTTTAAATTCTAGGACAGGGCTTAAACTTTCAATTCCTGAGCTACCAGCCAGGCCTTAGAGTTACTCGCCACCAACAAACATGGACACCTGTACACACACACAGACATGTACACACACACATACAGACACATGTATACACACACAGGCACGTACAGACACGCATGCACATGCACAGACACATGTACATACATACACAGACGTACATACAGACACATGTACGTACATACACAAACACACACCTACATACACATATATGTACAGATACACACATGTACATACACACACACACGTACAATTGTACATGCATACACAGACACACACACCCCCATAAAAAGTTGCAGTACTTCGTTGTTCACTCACAGATCTGGGTACTGCACTGTAAGGGGAAGCAGAGAGCACAGCACACAATGCTTGCTTTGCTTTCACTGCGCTCAGCTATTGAGCGGTCTGACGGCTCCCAGTCAGTACCAATGACAGATCCGGCCTCAGCTCCGAGCATGCTCAGCAAGACGGCCCTGGGGTACATACTCGCCCCCACCATAATTTCCAGGCAGGCGAGTGGAAATTTCAAGCCCTGCTCTAGGATATCATAAAAATAGGTTTCCTTCATGTGATGTTCATCTTGTCTGAAGATGCCTTTTGTCTGCAAGTGTTTCCAGTTTACAATACTTATTCAACAACTACAATGTATGAAGACTGCAACACTTACGGCAGTATTAAAAGGCAAAATTTCAAAAAGCACTGACATTCAGGGTTCTTATAACAGAGGAGAACCTAGTGGTCTAAAATGCCTCTCCCGGACTGTCAGCAGTAATGTAATTGAAGTTACACAGGCACAGCTCAGACCACATTTACAGCAACCGCTCTGTGTAAAGATGAAGTGACTCCTGTGCACATCGCGGGAGTGATGTCATTGCAGTTTGGCTGGAGAAAGCAAACCCAGAAGGAGACTCAGCAAAGATGGAAGCACCTGTGACCAGCAAGAGCATTGACAGAGCAGTACTGGAGGGCTTAGTTTGACAGGCAAGTCTGTCACAATGTGCCAATATGTGGTGCATTTTTACACATTTTAGCATAAACCACCTGGTGGAATATTTATTAAGTTCGTCATACACTAGTAGATTTTTAAATTAACGTTCATCCAAACATTCGAATGAAAATTCCAGTAATTTGATGACTTGACAATGTCGTTTGAAAGTACTTAAAAATTTCCTTTGCTTTTAACATTCAGTTCTAGACTGACAGGACTTTCCTGAATGAAAACTAAATACACAGTTAGAAACTTGTTTGTCTTGCTCTTTCGAATTTTCTCGTCACTGTGGTGGAAACAATTAGAAAATTGAACGAGCGTTCTTAAAATGAAAAAGTTTGAATTAAATTTTACTAGTGTATGGCCAGCTTTAATGGAATAGTAAATTATACAAGTTTTAAGAAATGTCTTTGGGACAAGCAGCAGGGTCTGTTATGCATGCAGTGTATCATATGAGGACCTGGGGACACGTGAAAGGTAAGGAGTTTTAGTTAATTAAGATATCTTGCCATTACATTTTATGTTAGGCAAAAAAACATTTCTTAGGCCTCTTTCACACTGGCACTCCTGTGCTTAGCTTTTCTGAAGACAGGATATGTCATCTGGGTAGTATAAACAAATTTTATGCTTCCCACATCAGTTTTTCCGGTGTTAATATGATCCTGCTTTAAAGCAGGTTTGACTGTGTTTAGAATTGCTAATTGGATCCTGGACGCACAGACTTCAATTTTTCCTAAATGCACCTACACTGTCCACACAAAATGCTGGTAAACAATCAGTGTGAGTGGCACCAACGAAAAATCATTACATGCATTTATGTTCTCTAAATGTATATAAAGACAGGTTTGATAGTGCCAGTGTGGATGAGGTCCTAAATTTTATGAGCTCCCTCTATCATGCTCATATGTAGCACATTGGGCTTTTACCAATAGCTGGAATAGTTAAAACTAAATCTGACTGATGTCTATACAAAACAAAAATTGTTCTAATGTGTATAAAGATGGACGCCACTGAGACCGATCCCCGGGAGTCAGAGAAGTAGAGTGTGTAGTGAGTGGCCTCAGCCGTCACTCTGGCCATGCCCCGCCCATAGGGAGGCTTGGTAATACGAAACGCATCGGAGGGCGTGACCAGAGTGAAGGCTGAAGCCACTCGCTACACACTGTTCTTCTCTGACTCCTGGGGATCGGTCTGAGCGGCGTCCATCTTCATACACACTGTCAAGTCTCTGGAATTACTTGGGACACTGCTCCCTCTTCTCTCTGCCAACAGGGTGACTACCATTTGCGGTCAGCCTCAAGTGGTGCCAGACGCACACTTATGGTTTTCAAAAATTGTTCTAAATTAGTCAAAATTGTTCTAACTTAGTAAAACTCGACAAAATTTTCACAAACTTGAGTAATTCAGAAAACTTTAGCAAATCATGAAAAAAAAATGTATGAACAGGGGTTACCTTCAGTGAAAACAGCATGTCAAAACAATTAGGTCTTCAAAGACAGCTGAAAACTGACCAAAAAGGGAAGCTTAGAAGGTAGAAGGGCGCAAGCCCAAAGCTTGAATTTACAGAAAAGGATAGAACTGCTATAACATTCAGTTGCCTATATTTATGGATCTTCTGATTTTGGTATGTGGTTTTCACTAAAAGTAACCTCTACTTATGCATTCTTCATCATGTGCTTCTTTTGAGTTGCGTAAAACTGGGACTGTTTGAACTTGTGGCTCATTACAGCTTACTAAAATAAAATAGCAGAAGGTAACATTTATAGTAAATACACATTCTACAAAAGCAATGCCAGGTTTGTGCATATTATTTTTACAGACTATATGAGAGATTAAGACCAATACTACATACTTTTTGTGCAAACATGAGAAAACGCATGCAGACTGGCTGCAATTTACAGAGGTTGTTTCAGATGCACAGCTCTAGTTGGTATTTTTAATGTATTTTGGCAGTCACAAGGAAACACCTCAGTTTTGGTTGCCAAAGTAAGTTGAAACCATAAACTGCCCTGTGTGGATGACTGTTTCACATACTACTAAAGTGAACAATAGTTGCCCCCCAGGAGCGGACTGACAACTCATGGGGCCCCCGGGCAATAGGGGATCATGGGGCCCCTGTGTCCTTGCTCAAACTCAAAAAAGCCTATGAAAAAAGGTACCAGGGGCATCTCATGGGGCCCCCTACTGACCCCGGGCCCTCGGGCAGTGCCTGAGTTTCCAAATGGTCAGTCCGCCCCTGTTGCCCTCTACGTGTGTTCTTGTATAATCATGGTAAGGACAGTAAAATTGCTTCTCTGAAGCACTTGGAAACCTGTCACTAAACAGAGTTAAACCCTGGTCATACCAGTGTGACTTTTCATGTGATTTGATAGTTTCAAATCACATGACAAGTCGCACCCTATTGTCTACAATTAAAGCGGTCATATCGGTGCAATTCTGACTTCGTCGGAGTCACACCGATTTTGAAAGTAGTGCACAGATGTCTTGCAAGTCGCACCTGAAGTCGTTCTGACATCTGACTTTACTTTAGTCGCACGATTGCAACGTTTAATTTGATGTGACCGTGATATTAATGTATGAATACTTTATAATGGATAAAAAATAACAAAGTGTTCAAAGTCTGCTTCTTTAATAAATATTCAGTTCAGGGTGACAGGAGAGTATCGTATGTACTCTCCAGCGCCTCAGGATATGCACAGCCAAAAGGGAAGCCAAGGGAACCAGGACAGCAACAAGCAAAGGAAATGCTTCAGGGGTGCAGCCCTCCTCAGACGGGGAGATCAGCCACTAGATAGAGAATAAACAGGTGGCGCACACACCTAGTGCATTATCCAAGGTTTATTGAAAGGAGTGAAAAATAAACAGGAGACTATCATTTATTAAGACTTTGTTACATGGATCAAAGAACATTCTACAACTTGAGAATCCATAAATCCAGCATTATAGAAAGAGCAGTGCTGTTTACGAATTGCTGTCATCACTCTTGAAAGATGACCCGCTGTTGCTCCTTAAACCACCTTACTGAAGTTCATCTGTAGGCTTCCCCCCACACACACACAAAGCTTGCATGGGCAAGGCAAACTGCCTTATTACATTTTTTAAAGAAACGTTATTTATCTCTTTTTGATAGCTGAAAATGTTGACTAAGCCACTCAAAAATAGTTAGAAGGATAAGGCAAGCAGTAGCAAGCATTGTATGTACCCAACTCTCTTATTATGCATGCCACTGTGAAAACTACATATCCCATGAGGCAATGCAGGCAGAAGCAATTCCAGGGGCATGTTTGCAGACATAGAAAATAAGAAGGCTATTAGTGCTGACAACAGAGAGCCTTGACAACTACTTAGGTCCTGCACCACTGTAGTCTAAGTGGATAGGTACAAGTACAGTGCAGCGATTTCAATATTAACAACTTTGGTTAATTTTGCCCAGATGCATGGGGTTGTACAATGTAACAAACGATTCAGTACATCTCTCCAATACAAGCACAGTTCACCATATTTTATCCCTTCAAAACTGATACTAGAAAAGGAATTCCAGCCAGAAATCTAGTGTGCTTCTACTTTTCTTTCTGAGCTGACAACACAGTGCCTCTGCTGTGCTAAAAATGCTAGTAATGCTAGTTTAATTTCAAATGTCACTTTAATAAACAAGTTTACACAACTGGCATCTGAAATGCTAATGTGTTACACACACACACCAGAAATTTATCTCCAGGATATACAGAACAAATGAAAACAAACTCCTTGCAATAGCGTTACAGGTAGCAACCTTATTAATCACAGCTTAGAAAATAAATGGTCCAAAGAGAAATGCAACACCAAATACTTTTTATACAGTTACGGATTTTCAAAAGGTGTCCAACAAAAGTGTGATCCAAGGAGATATGTCTGAACGCGTTTAGTTGTTTTTTTCTTTTTTCCTTTTAACTTGCTGAAGAAGCTACCCTTTGCATTTAAAAGGCCAAAATCAAGAAAGGAAGTCTGCCTAGCCAGTAAATGGCTATGAATGAGGCTTTAGATAGAAACACTCCACCCTTGTTCCTGGTAATATAAGAAAGAGCTCTCTGATAAACGTGTTACCTTGCTTTTTCAGGATGTAGGAAAGTTAGACACATGTTTACAGAGTGTACTTGGCATGGAATCAATCAAAAGTTTCCCAAGCTAAATGGAATATATATATATATTTATATATTATACATACGTAAGTACTTATACTCTCTCATACATACACATATATATATATATATATATATATATATATATATATATATATATATATATCTCAGGAACCACTATGGGAAAATCCTGCACTATCTGTAAATGTTATGGCCTGTCCTGCTACTTTTTACCTCTCATTTGCAGTTTACATAGAGCTAAAATGGAGGACAAATTCCTTCTGTCATGGCAGAGGAGCTAAATGCTCTTCTATCCCTTTTGCATAAATAAAAATTTCTATGCTTTAAACATTCATGCGTGGTGTGCTGGAACTGTAGCTGATAATATGAGAACAAATGAAAAAAAACAAAGATAAAAAAAATGATTTACTGATCT